CCTAGTCTTCCCACTGATGAGTGAAAGTACCGTGGGCCAAGTTCTGAGGAAGTGTTTGAAACAGAGGCCCAGGGCAACTGAGTGACTGAGAGCGGGGCTGTGGTCGTCATGATATGAAGTGTGAGGCTGATGTTTTTAGTGCATTGATAATACAACCATCAGTAATTTCAGTATCAACCTACGATTAGAACCATAACAGTGTTGTTACCAGTACCGAGCTCTCTTTTTTTTCCTTTAGCATTTCCCTTAGGTGGCCATATACGGTGGATTGGCCTTGACTGGTTGCCAGATGCCCACTCAGTTGCTTTCTCGCTCCCCCTCCCCAACAAGCCGGGGAGAGAAAATAGGTTGAAAAAGCTGCTTTAGGTAGGTGAAGAAATAAACACATTATCTTGTAGGCACAGAAAAGTAGGTAGAAAAGAGTTTACTGGCAGTTTTCCACTGGCACAGGTTCCTGGCAGTAGAGTCATCTTGAAAATACTAGACAGGTTTTTTTTCCAGAGAGAATTTGCAATTTTGGGGATAACTTTTTCAATCTCAGGGATAATCTGAATTCTGGCAAATGCATTGCTTCTAAGATGTTTCTGCCATTGCTCTTTTCTCTATTGAAACATGCAGGAAAGGAAAGTTTTTCCGACTGCTTAGCAGATAAGCTTGGGATCCAGAACTTTCTTCCAAGTCATCACTTCACGGCAGAACAATGATTGCTTATTAAACTATCGGTCTACCAAAAAAATGCATTCTCCTCCGTTGCAGTTAGTATATGTGGCTGAAAATTTGAAGGAATATTTCTTCAGATTATACTGACAGTAGTTGTCAGCTGTTCTCTGAAACTGTGCTATAGTTTGCATACAGAGTTGAGTCTTTTGGCTAAAAATAATTTTAATAGAATTTAAAAGAATTTTAAGAATCAGCATTGGAACAGTAGATTTTGGATACCAGGAACCGAGTTCTTTGTACCATTTTTTAATCCTATTTTCTCATAATTTTTCCACAGTATAACAGAATCATTTTAGAGACACTATATCTGTTAAGAGACTATGGACTGACCCAGAGCACTTGGAGCTGCCCAGGAACCTTTAGGCCAATCAAGTGCATTTTCTATGAGTAAAAACTAGCAACCTTAAAGATGTGTTATACTCAAGAATTTTATAAAAATGAAAGAATTCAGCTACTAATTGCTTTTCAGATTAAGCATACTTTTCTCACCCTCTACCTAGTAAGACCTCCATCTGCCTGCAGGGCATGTTGATCCATTGCATATTTTATTTACAAACATAAGCAGTAAGCCGTTGAAGGTGGGAGATTTTTCCTTTGTCTTTAATAGGGATGATATTATTTTCTAGCAAGTGAAAGGAATGTGGCAACATTTATGGAATTACTAAAGAAAAGCAGTCAGAAATAAGAGTGCGGATAGGCTAACGAAAAATAAGTAGTGTGAGTACAGGTGTTTTCTGTGGTGATGTTTTAAAAAAAATAATCTTAAATTATTTGGAAGAAACAGAATCTTTTGTGTTTTAGAATGAGGTGATTCATTACAGATTCATTTCCTGAGGAGAGAGATTTGTTGGTGGCTAAGCATGCAACAGAATAATATAGTAGTAACTGATGAAAAAATGTGTAACAGCAAAAATAAAATGCAGTATAGGGAAAGAAACTAATAATAAAAATGCACATTTCCTTAGTTCTTTTTATTATTTTAACTTTGACTCTTTTCAGCTGAATTCATTCAAAAAGCACGATATACTTGTAAATCTTCCAATAAGTATCCATCAACAAGAGATGTGTATGCATGCATGTTGAGCAGGAAATACTGAAAACAAAACAAATGCATTATCCTCTGTGATGTAGAAAAACAGCTATATTTCTTCCGAGACTAGTCTCTCAAGTTATTTAGTGTTGTCTTCCCCTAGTCTAATTCTCAACCGCATCATGTTACATCGTGATTTTTTGCTACTTTTTTTTATTTTGTAATGAGTTTTGAAAATTATTCTTATATTTACCTGTAAAATATAGTGGCAGTAATGAGGACTTTTCTCATCCCTAACTCATTCCCAAATTTATCATGAATTCATTTTGGGTGTATTCTGCGTGGATTAATAGCTGTGCAGACTCTATGCTGTTCTGCTGCTGTACTTCAGTACATCCCTTAATGCGTGTCTGTGTATCAAAGGGATAAAATCCTAAGATTAGGCTTTCCCTGACACCCTGCAGAAGGAAGAGAATTAGCTGGTCACTACTGACTGTAAATACTGTAGGAGAGTACAGTAGCCATGCTGGCCCTGGCAAGAGAAGTTTGCATTTTCAGGCAGGTTTTTTTTGACAGACTTGTCTTGCAGCCTTTCATGGAGGAGCAAGGACTGATGACAATAAACTGTAGAAACAGAAAGAGGTTATTTTATCTGAGCTCATTCATGATTTGCTTTCCCTGTTTTGTATTTTAAAATAAAATAGCGTAGTAAGGAATAAAAAGATTGCATTCATTTATTTTAGGTGTACAAAGCTCAACTCTTCCATTTTTGTTCGACAAAGAGCAGAACAGTAATATATCTTAATCTGCCCTTCCAGTGTTTATGGCTGCTACAAAAAAGAAAACTGTAATGTTTTGATGCCCTGGCACTGGATACTGTGGGGGCCTCTGGAATCCTTTGGCCCATCTCCAGCGTGCCGTTCTGCTGACAAAGTAATTCACAGTTCTGAGTCTTATGATCTGCAGAAATGCCCCCATTCATTAGCACTGCTTGCACTTATCTGCATGGTTACCCTTTATTTTTGTTTTTCTTTTTTTTCCTGAAGACAGCCTAAAGGGACTAAGGTAACATACAGGATTTATAAAATAATTGTAGCAGGCTGAAATATGTTAATTTGCAGGTAGTTCCGCAGACAGAAGAATCCAAAGACATGACTTCCATTGATTTTAGTGTCACTTTTCCTGTGTACATTGTCTAATAAAGCCTCATCAAATGGTGCAGCATTTCCCTGAGTGGGGGGAATTAGTGCAAATTCTCTTCTGAGCTTTCTGTTTTCATTGTATTTATGACTAATTAATACTTTTACATAAACTACCTATATGTGAAATTGGCAAAAACTATTTTGGGAACCACTGGGAGACAGCAAAATTGGAAGACATCGCGCTCCTTTCGCTTTTGGGAAGGTTTAAAGTTATAGTGGGGAAGGAATAGGGATATTTAAAACATGATCACACAAGCTAGATTCAGATGTTTTGCTTCAGTGAGTTATTGCTCCAGCTGTTACTGGTTCTGGCCTGAAACTTAACTGCTGAAGGTCATGTGAAAAACTCAGTAGACTTTGTACTGAAATGGAAGCATCCAAATGTTACATGTAACATCTCCGGTCTGTGGAAGATAACCTCCAAGCAAGAGGCAGAAGCAAGTCAAGGCTGACTGTGTCCTAAATCGCTACAGCTTCTACTGGAATAAATTTCTGGTATTTTTCTTTATCCAGGGAAATTACCGCTTCATGAAACTTTTACTGGCTCGTAGAGGGAACTGGATGCAGAAGGACTTAGAGGATATGACACCTTTACATTTAACTACACGTCACAAAAGCCCAAAATGTTTAGCTTTGTTGCTAAAACATATGGCACCTGGAGAAGTGGATACCCAGGACAGAAACAAGGTAAAAATACTCCTAATTTTAAGACAGCACTTCTAGCAACTTTAGAAAATGATGTTACATCAAACAGTCGTGTATGAAGGATTATCTCAGTCATAACATACATTTTCTGAGTCTTCAAAGTAGTGACTAACACTGGCATTATAATGATCACCTTTAGAAATATTAATATTTTCCTGACAATAATGATGTACAAGTTCATTGCACTGAGTTCATTGACATTCTTGTTGAGAGTGCATAGAATGAGGATTCAGTAAGTGTTCATTTTAAGGTCTAAGTCTTTCTGTAACATTGTGATCCTTGTTAGAATCTGGATAACGTGTTGGTTTTTTACCTTGGAAAAACATTTAGAATAAGGTAATGGTAAGAGTCACTAGAAAAATTTTTACGAAAAGGCTGGTATAGCAGGAGGTGTCCCTGCCCATGGCAGCAGGGTTGGAACTAGATGACCCTTAAGGTCCTTTCCAACCCAAACTCTTCTATGAGTGTAAAAAAAGTTATATTTTTAAAAACTGCCGTTGACAGAAATCCTTCCTAACACTGGGTGATCTATTTTGTCCTGTGTTGGAGCCACCTAAATGGTGGTGATACTGACACAGATGTCCATAGGTGCTGCCTTTTAGAAATGTGTGGTGGGATGGCTTTGGCAAGCAGCAGGATGTCCACCCAGCTGCTCTCTTGCTCCTCCTCCTCAACGGGATAGATGGAAAAAATAGGTCAAAAAAGCTCATGGATTGTGATAAAGATGGGAAGACTGATCACCAGTTACAGGCAGAACAGACATGACATAAAGAAAATGAGTTTAATTCGTTGCCAGTTGAAATAGTTTTGCATGGTGAGAAACAGAGACAAAAAATAGAACACTACCTTCAAACCGCAAGTGCCCCTTTTTTCGTGGGTCAGCTTTTCTCCTCTTCCACTTCTTAGTTTGATCCACAAGTAAAAATGGACCATTTTTCAAGTTGCATCGTCACACGTGACTTCTTGGCCTGGAATAGACTGTGATGCCATTTGTCAAGATTTTCTAACAGGGACAATAAAAAGTATGTTCTTGTTGCTGCTGTTACTATCATCATCATCGTCATCATAAAAGGGACCAATAGGCAGCAGAAGGTCTGCTGTCAATGCACATGCACCGTTGCTTCCATGAGTGCATCATTTAGAGAGAGGGATGTGATGATGAAGCTGATTGACATGCTGGCATGAATCTTTCATTTGAAGCAGAATTTTGACAATTTTTTTTGGTGAAACTGCAGGCTTGCTCCGGAGAAAATGTAATATTAACATCTTCAGGGCTTTACATTGCTACCTTCTTAGAATAAAGTCCTTCAGACTAATTTTCTGCATCCGTAGTGATAATTGTTGCTTGCGAGGCCAGGAAGTTTCCAGGTGACATTCCAGTTATATCATACAGTGCATATATCACTGTGAGGTGTCTCATGTTCCTTTGTAACGTCAAATTGTGCTCAGTAAAATTACCAGCCTGCTTCAGAAGCATGCTTACTTCTTAGGGCCTCAGGAAATAATCTACTGAAGTTCCTTAAAAGAGGACTAGTGTTAAAATAGCCTAGCCAGAAGAGAAGATAGATCTTAAAAGGAGAGTAGTACAGTTCTTAAAGCAACTACTGTAATCTGTTAGTCTTTGTAGAGAGAGGTGATAGCACACTAACCCATTTTAAAAGAAGGAATAGTTATTTAGACTATAGTAACTATATGGTTTTAAGGTGCTCAGGTTAGTGTCATTTTTAAGTGCTTAGCAATGCTTGATTTTAAACTGATGTGAAACAATTGCCTTCATTAGCAGTAATAGTAGGGTATGAGAAGGCCCAGGATTTTCACACAGTCCTGACAGACCTTCCAGATAAAGTATTTTTTGTGTTTCCACATATATTTTGAGCAAAACAGTTTAATCTCTCTTGTTGGCATGCTTGAGAGGTGAGCAGGTAGTAGACAAAATTCTAGTAGTTATTGCAAACCTATTAGTCTGGGAATATCTGGTTGAAATTTCACATGCTTGAGCTGTTTGCCTGTCCTGAAATCTGAACAAGACTACTTTCAAAGAACCTGGAGTTCCCTAAGCCAAATGTTTTTTCTACAAGGATATAGTAACAAAAAATCAGATGCTATGAATGTAGATAGCAAAAGGAAGACTAAAATCCAATTACGTAACTACCATTGGTGATGGAGGCTTTTAAAGCTTTGAGCAGGAAGGTCTCTCTCTTACAGTTTTTAAGTTATCTTGGAACTGGTGAAAAAGCTCCCCACCAGACACTAATCTACTGATTCAAATGTGAGTGCCTTGAGCAAGCCTATCAGCTTGGCAAGGCTGGTCTTAGTGAAATCATCATTCCATATCTCACATGGTGGGTTTTCATTTTACTGTGAGAGTACATAGTAAGAGAAGGGGACTGGCCTTGCTCTGAAATCCTGATTTGATTTTTATCATCTAGGAAGCAGAATAAGACAGCTGTGAGCCATGTTTTCAGCAAATGAATCTTCGATCCCTTTGGACAATGGAGTTGAGCCAGTCTGTGCCCTAGCAGTCAGCTCTTTGCCTTCCAGGATGTTCTAAAGCGTATCATGGAAACTCTACAGTAGTCGTTTTGGAGGGGTCATGCTGATTTTCTGGTCATGTTAATTCATTAACAAAGGTATATGGAAACCAGCCAAAACCTTGTAGGAACCTGGCCTGTTGTTTAGCAGATTTCCAAAGCAGAATTAAAGCATTGCCAGATTTTCTACAAAATGTAGAACACTTGTTATTGCAGTTCGTGTCATGAGTAGTCACAGGAGGAAACATGGAATTCACGTTGATGAAAGGCTGTCTCAGGGACAGAGTCCATCCTGTTTACCCCTGTTGGACACAGCGTATTTTGTTTCCCTTACTGCAACTGTGTGCATAAAGATTGTCAAATGTAGTTCCTGAACATGAAAACAACTGTCTTTTATATCTGCTTCCATGTCAGCAAATGACTGAACAGCAGGTTGTAGGTGAGAGAAGCCAGTAAGCCAAGGCTAGATTTGCCTTATGGTAATCAAAAGGTTTTGCTTTCATTGCAGCTCTGTTTCTAGGTATACTGGTCAGTTCCACTTAAGAAATAGCATTTGTTAACTTACTACAAATTTCTACTGCTATAAGGGGTTTTACCAATTCAAATTCTGACAGACTGTGAAGATTTGAATATGCTTTATGGTGCTAGGCTGTATATTGTTGCATGTGGTGTCAATTATCAGATTTTTCCTTGCAGCCCCTCCAGTTATGTCTTAGAAAGAGCTCTTTTTCACTTAACCACCAAGTAGACGAAAAGGTTGTGCTATCATATTATATTACCATGGTCCTTTTTGCTTTCCTTCTTTACAGAGATGTTAAGGATTTGAAAGTGAACTCACACATTCTATCTCACTGCTCAAGGATGTTAATCCAGAGTATCCTAGGCTTATACACAAATCATAGAATCATAGAATGGCCTAGGCTGGAAATGTCCTGCAAGAGTTATTTTTCTTTGTTTTCAAATCAAAGTGTCATGTAATAATTTGCAGGGATGATGGGAGAAGAGAGGTGGGAAGTAAAATTCATTCTGTATCTTGCAGTTCTCTGCTGTTTGGCGGTTTGGAGGGATGTGCCTAATAAATAAAAACTTGTTAATGTAACAATATTTTGCTGTTTGGAAAACCCACACACATTGGTTTGTTTATGTGATCATGAACATGGATAATGCCTGGAAAAAAAACCTGACAGTCAGGGATTGACAATAGGAGCATGTGTTGCCTTTTGATGTTTTACTGGACTGCCATGGGTCAATGAGCATTAGATTCAGTAATGTTCAGCCTCAGAATTCTGAGTAATCAAAGACAGTGCAGAAAGGCAAAACCTTTGCTCAAGATGGATCCAAATCCAACGTCAGTATTCAGTGCCATCTTCCTCTAGTGGAGGGTAATTTTGTTATATACTTCTCCATCAATTTGTGTTATTCCAGGAGACTCCCAAATTTAAGAGGGATGAAACTAATTACTGCAGTTGTTCTGTAGCGCAGCTCTGGTGTTGCAGAGTGCTTCAGATGATCATTCCAACTTGGACATGATTGATTAATACCAAGCTGAGACGTTTTCTCCAGGTCTGAAATTGCTACACTTGATGGCATTGCCCTGTTGGCATGGACAGTATTCTCCTGCTGTAGTCCAAGAAATCTTCATGTGAAGCATTTGATCTCCCACCAGAAACACTTGTATTCCAAGTATAAAGACTTCTCAGTGTGGATGTCATGTGAGATGTAGCTTAGACCTAATTCAGACCTCAGTGGCAAAGATGTGTATCTACTCTTACTCAGATAGGTAGGGTCTCTTGTTCAGTTTTGTTTAAAGCCTGTATTTCCACTGATTTTGAGTTGTCATGCACCCTGGCTACATGTGCTCTATTTTCTGTCAGTCCTCTTCATTGAAGTATAATACAAGATTATTGCTCATCTCTGCTTGGTGCTGGTGGCACCATGAATGGAATGCTGCATCTTCTGTGACAGAGCGAGGGCACAGACGTACTGGAGCCAGTCAATGGAGAGTGACAAAGCTGATGAGCAGATTGGAGCATCTGACATCAGGGAGGAGCTGAGAGACCTGCGTATGTTTAGCCTGAAGAAGAGTCAGTTCAGGGATCATTTTACCAACATGCATAAAGACCCGATGGGAGGCAGTAAAAAAGATGGAGCCAAACTCTTCCAGATGGTCTCTGGTGAACAGACAAGAGGCAACGGGTGCAAGTTTGGAATATTAATAAGTTCTGTTTAAACCTGAGAAAATATTTCTTTACTGTGAGGGAAGTCAAATACCAAAACAGGTTGTCCAGAGAGGTTGTGGAGTCTTTATCTGTAGAGATAACTAAAAATCTGACTGGAGAGTGTCCTGATCAGGCGATCTCCTTCTTTCTGCAGAAATATATCTAAATCATATTTCAGATTCTAACCAACTTTAATTTTCATCTTTTATTAATAATAAATTAAATTAATTTTTGAAAAACTTGGGAATACTGTGTTCCAGCAAACTGCATTGCATTGGAGTGCCTACTACAATAACCCAGAGCATGTGAAGCTTCTCATAAAACACGATTCAAATATTGGAATCCCTGATATTGAAGGAAAAATCCCACTTCACTGGGCAGCGAACAACAAGGACCCTAGTGCGATTCACACAGTGAAATGTATTCTGGTAAGAAAGTCTGTTAACGCTTTCTGGATTTATTACTTTACTCTGATAAAAATATTTCTTATGCTCTTGGAATTTTTCGTTTGAGTCCACTGACGCTTTGAGAATGAAATAATTTGCTTTTCATAATATCCAGAATTTTATAAGAAATAATCTTAAATATTTTTGCTCTCCTGAAAGTTTTTTGTGAATATTTTTTCTCTAACTAATGGGCTATGTATATTCTCTTAATTAGTTTGATATGTGTAACAATTCATTTTGGGGGAAGGGGAGAAGGAAGGGGTTGCAAGTTCTGGTTAAAATGGACAGTCATATTACTCATCTCAGTAGCATCTCACATACTGATTTCTCTGTGGTGTGCCTTTTCTTCATTATTTGAAAGTTTATTTCTAATTAATTGTACTGAAAAGTCTAATTTAATTTGGTTTTTCGAGTCAGAATTTGAGGAGATATTTGATCAATTATCAATTAAGTCCATGATCGTTTTACTTAGAGACATTCCAAATGTTTTTGTGTACTGATTTAGTACTTTTTCCTTAATGACATATTCTCTTTCTGTAATATTTCAGTTTCATTTTCTACACTGATATTTACAAGTGTGCAATGAAATCATGTGCTCAGCTTGATTTTTATTCTGTGGAAATCTCAGAATTTCACCATCATGGAAAGATACAGAAGTCTCATTTTTTGTTTGGGTTTTTTTTTTCACTTGTATTACAACAATTTCTCTATATCTTTGTTTTTTAAAGGTCTTTCAGAAGCAGGCAGCTATTGATTGTAAGCTAACTACAATGACTTAGATGTCTGTTTGCCTGATTACCTTGCAAGTTGAAAAATTATGTGTGGCAGATGAGAATTTGCTTTGCTGTTCTCCAGACCACGCTGATACTTATTCTTTTAATCTAAAAGTAGTTTTGGTAAGTTTCCAGTGTTAAATGAGTATGATTGTATTTCTCTACGAGTTCTGTTTATTTAAGATAATTGCAATTTGGACTCAGTTATGAAATAATTTGTCACAAACAAAACTTGGTCACAAAGTTTGTATATACTGTGCACTTTTCTGCCACGCTAGAGAAATTATTTTGTGAAAAGTAAGTAAGGATTTCTGTGTACAAACTTTTTCAAACATTAGGTGTCAAAGTTAAAGGGTTTTAGAAGTTGTGGTGGGTAGGCCCCACCCAACAGCCTGATGCCTGCACAGCCACTTGCTCCCTTCCCTCTTGCGAGGCTCGGAGACTGTAGAAGGAAGGCGAGAGAACTTGTGGATAAAGATAATGACAGTTTTATTACAGAAATCCAAAGCTGCATGCAAAAGAGAGAATTTATTTTCTACTTCCCATTAGTTGGCAGATATTAGCCATTTCCACAAAAGTAGGACAGGAACCTCGGCATGCTCAGTTGTTGCTTGGGAAGCCAAGTGGTGGAGCCATGAGCATCACTCTTGCCTTGTCCTTTCCCTGAGGTTTTTTTTTTGCGGAGTACGCTGTTATGTGGGATGGAATATTGCTTGGGTCAGTTGGGGTCAGCTGTCCCAGCTGTGTCCTCTCCTAATCTGTTGCCCACCCCCAGTCCCCTCACTGAGAGAAGTAGGACAGGGCAGAGCATGAAAAAGAGAAATCCTTGATTCTGTGCAAGGGATATTCAGCAACAGCTAAAATGTGGGTGTGTTATCAACAGTTACAGTCACAAATAGAAAGCCCAGCACCATACCTGCTGCTGTGAGGAAAATTAACTCAATAACAACCAGATGCACTGCAAAAGGTCAAAAGTACCTGTCTCCTTACTGAAGATGTTCTCAGAGATTCTCTTTAGGTAATACAGAACCATAAGCTGTGCCAGATTTTGTTGGTTTGTGGGTTTGGTTTTGTTTTGATTTTTTTTTTTTTTATACACTGACAGTTGAAAGAATGTCTTCTTGATTCAGTCTAGGCTTTTTCATGCATCAGCTAAATTTATACCGATATAATCAGCAAATATTTATACCTTTATAAACCTATTGATAGATTTAGATAATAAGTTTAAATGAAAAAGTAATTTAGCTTACAGAATATGCTGTAAAAGTTGATGATACAGAAACTTTGTAACTAGGTAATCTGTTGATTGAATCTGTTGTTGAGTGTAAATACCTTTTGTTGTTGTTACTCCTGAATTTAAAATCCTTTAGTAAGATCATGTCTTCAAACAGAAGTGTTTTTTCTTACTTGTTTTGATAGCAAGCTGTCTGGCAGAGCTCACAGTCTTCCCCTCCTTTCTTAGCTGCTTTTTGCTGTATTACTTACCCAAGCATCACCTTTAATTCTCATCTCTCTGGCAGTCTTCACATTCACATTAACTTAACAGTTTTTCACGTTCTTTCTGCATGATATTTCTAATGTACTTACCCGTACAGTTAAAATATCTGTCATCTTGTATCTTAACTTACATAACTTCATTTCTATGTTTTCATGTGAATATTGTCCTGTAGTGATAGCAGTGCAAAAGGCCTACTGTTATCTTTTTTTTTTTTTTTTTTTTTTTTTTAAAATCTCATCCAACACAAACCATTTCTCTCTGCTTTCACGATAGGGTGCTATAAGCTGTAAGCTTCGTGCCCTTGCTGAGATAGCAGTCGGATATTGGTATCTACCACTGGTCTGTCTGCATTGGCAACATTTGCCTCCCGACTTAGTTAATGAAAACCAACACTGCCATTGTTTCTCTCATGTTATCTTTAGCACTCTGGAAGAATTCCTCAGTTGTTTTTTTTCTCTAGTGTCCTACTCAGAGTTCTCCAGTGCTGCTTTACAAAAACTTGACAAAAGTTCAGCTGCTGGTTTCATAGAGACTACAGCCCACGATACTGAAAAATACTATCTTGTTTCTCCATGCTCTGCTGTCTGGCTATGCCCATTTGTTGTCTTCTGTTTATAAATTCATAAAATTAAGGGTCATCTTCCTGTTTGATGTGTGTGTAGTACTTAACCCATTGGGATTGTCAAAGTAAAGAATAATGAAGAGAGCTTAAATGAATGCCAATCAAGTAGGATAGGTGTGCAGGGATGACAGTTCTACACAAATTAAGTTATAACTAATCTTGAAGTCCATGAAATACACTCGTAACATATTTAGAAAGTAAATGTGTCAAGTAGAGAGAAACTCTCATCTGGAGATCCTCTCATGGTCAACTTCCTTTTCCACCTTTCCAGATTCAGCAGTGCTGGGTTACATGAAAAACAATGGGAAGATTTAAGGAGAAAAGAACAGAATAAGGTTCCATTAATATGGTGGAAGCAGCTGCTTAGTACTCTCTGTCTATTTTGTATCTCTTCTCTCTATTTATTCTTCATGGTAAGAGATATGACATTTATTTATACAAAACTTTCCATTATTGCCTGCAATTCCACTGTTCTAATTGCTGCAGAAAAATGCATGGCTTCCCTTTCTTCTGTATATTGTATATTAAAATATTGATACAGTATTTATTACAGTTTACTTATAGCTAGTTTTACACCAGTATCACTTACAATCCAAAGCAATGATATTCTTGAATGTAGGCAGAAAGAAGCCTAGAAAATTTTAGTTTAAGTGTCCAGAAATTTCAAAAGACATGAGTACTTTTTAGACTAGAGTATAAATAATGCCATTTTGCAAAATTAACACTTGATTATGGGCATATGTTCCGGGGAACATCGGTGACTTTGAGCCAGGAGTTTTAGTAGTCATTTATTTAGGACGTTGTTGTGCTTTTAGAAAGCTTGAAAATTAGCTTTCCAGCGTACATCAATAAATTATGAGTAAAGTGAAGAAGTATTTCTTTCCTTGTTTGTCCATTTTGTTCAAATAAGTTTTCGTCTGGTAGAGTTAGAATTTCGGTTATAACTTTTCTGAGTGTCACCATTCATTTTTAGTCCTTCTTAAAAGTGATTCTCATAAAGATCACTTCTGAATTTTTGCAGTGGGCTCTATACTCCCCCTGCTGAGCTCTTTGAATAGACAGAAAGTAAGTGTATTATCAGTTAGCTTTCTCTGGAGAATTATTAAAGCTAGGGAAGGACATAAAACTTCACTTTTCACTGTAATGGCTCAGATAAAATGCTTTTGAATGCTTATTAAAAGAAGCATTAGTCATATTTTGATTATCGTAGTTTGTGCATGTAACAGTGTTAACTTTTTATTTTTAGTTAAAATATTCACGTTTGTATCCTTTTTTCATAGTTTTAATAGATTATCTGTTATTGTACTAGTGGCTAGATATAGTAATGAACTAGAGGATGTTTCAAGTATGTTAATTTTTTTCTCGTGGCAAAACATGCCTAAATACTGATATCTAAAACTCTGGCACGGTTTTTTAGTATGTGAGACAGGCAACTGAATTAATATTTACATACAGTATGTAAACATTCAACTTTAGGAAACTCATATTGACCAATTATTAGGAGGTTTAGGTTGACACAGTTAGTAAGATAGTGAGAAACAAACATCAACACGTTTCAGAGTTCATGTTAACTACTGCAGTATTAGTTTAGCCAGTTTGCACTTAGGAAATATGGTTAAATATAACTTGAAATTTATTTATTTTTATTATCTGTTAAATAGAACTTACAACCTTGGTCAATTAATATTTGGCATAGAAAACATAACTCAGGAGTTTCCTCACTTCCTGCTTCTTGATTTACCGCTTTCACTGTCAGGTGTTTGTTTTGTCTGTAATAGTTACTGCATTTCAAATAATGTAAATACAGATGATTTTATGGCCTATTTGTGTTATCTAGAGAAGTCAATAGGAAAAATCGCAGCTAGTACAGGGAGAAAGGGATCAGGAACTTGCTATAACTGTTAACAAGCTGCACGGATCACGATCTCTCCCCTCCTCTTTCATAACTATATTGTAATATAGATACAGTGTGTGTCTGTATTTTAAGGAGCATCATTTTTCTCAGTCACTGTGGGTTAAATCACACTCTGGTGTTGGAATTTAACCTCAGAACCACATTCCTGTTTTCTTTTGCGCAGGTTTCCCCAGACTTCAGTGAATTGTTCTGAATTGATGGCGGTAGAATGGCAGACTTACTTGCTATAGTTTATTTAAGCTTCTGCTCTAGATGTTCGGTGTCCTACATCGAGTTTCTATTGGTTTATTGTTTACCTTTTTCTTTAGATAACGTCTTTTTTCAGGAAAGTGAAGTTTAAAGTTTGTTTTTCATATTCGCCGTTTGGAGATCTCTGCAACGCTAAGATGGTGTTCATTTGTACCTGTTCTGTTCTTCGGCCTGAGAAAGAAAGTCTTGAAGAGAAATACGTGTAGAAAAAAGTTGAGAGAGGAAATTATAATGTGAAACTATATAGCTAGGGGTCTTGTCTGGAAATAATTTATCATGTTTTTTTAGGAAAATAGGAAAAAAACCCAAGTTATATCTATTAATACATATCTTATGTGATCAAGTGACTAATCACAATATTTTACAAGATTCTTTTATTCAAAATTAAGCCCATTACAAGTAGATGTGTTCATTCGAAATACTCTCTAACTTCTATTCTGTCAGCTAGAGACCTTCACATCCCCTTTAGAAATACTCCGATGGTCATGTGATTTTTTTTTAAATGCTAGAAAAGTATAATGAAAACCATAAGATTAACTTGTGAAAAATCAGGAGTGTCCTAGGAGAAAAATTTGAAGGTATATATGTCATGTTCAATTTAGAAAATCATCTAAGAAGATATAGTTAATATCACCAGAGCCTGAGTTAGTCTTGTACATATCTGTCTCTGTAAGGATCCACTTGCACAACAGATTGGAAAAACTACAGGATATGTGCTGAAAATCAGATCTTGTACATTAAATAAGCATTAAAAAATCTGTAAGAAGTACTTGAAAATACCCTACGCTGTGAGAAAAGTATTTTGTTGTAGATTTACATTCTACTGAAAAAGGACAGTTTATCTCCTTATTATAAGACTCAAAAAAAAAATCTGTTTGGAGCATATAGTTTTTCTCTTCGATGTAAATATTTTTTAAATTTTGTACTTTTTTTTTTAAAGGAAGCTGCACCTACAGAATCTCTGCTTAACTGGCAAGACTATGAAGGACGAACTCCCCTTCATTTTGCTGTTGCTGATGGGAATGTAGCAGTTGTTGACGTCCTCACCTCCTATGAAGGCTGCAATGTGACATCTTACGACAACTTGTTTCGAACCCCCCTTCACTGGGCAGCTTTACTTGGTAAACAGGAGAATGCTGAAGTAATTTAATAATTAATTGACTGTGGTGTTTAATCTTTGTCTCTGGTTTTTATTTAATTCCAGCCTGGCATTATGCTAACTGATCTCTTAGAACTATAGTAGTTTCTGCTACACCGGGATTAAAAGTTCTGTGCAGACTGATTTTTTGGCTTCAGATTCTCCAAAACGTTCTAACGTACATTATTTCAGCGGGCTTTATATGTTCACAATTTAGGAATAGTTAGAACATACTGAGATGTTCTTGAAAATGTGGCTTTGTATATAGTTAAAGAGACAAACTGTGACTCTAGAGCAGTGTATGCAAGATAATCCATTGGGGTGTGTGAAGAAAATATCAGAACTTCTGTTTATGTTTATTTTTCATCTGAAAAAATAAAATAACTTTATTAATATTTAATATATGGATTGATGTTAGCACCCTCATTTGGTCTGTATGTAAGGCAGTCACATGTTGTTTGTGAGGTGCCTGAGGGAAGCAAGTGCTCCACAATGCAGAGGGATTGACAGTGGCATCATCACTCGTTTGTTCCCTTACAGCTTATTGCAGTGTATTACAGTTTATGTGTGCCCAGTTAAGTGAATTTATGGATTATGTTATCTCATTTTTACTAAACTACGCCTCACAAAATAGGCAAGTGACTTAAAAAGAAACTGCAGATAATCAAATCATGTCAGCACAAGTGAACAACAAAAAACTGGCAGAATTGTCACTGTTCCTGCTCCTAATACAGACTCTTTTATCAGCCACGTTGTGACAGTCTAATCAGATCTGAGATGGGGTTTTATTCTGTTCAGATTGCTATCCTGAGACTCAGATGACTCTGGAAGTTACAACCTTCTGCGTAGTTTGGCCTTACAAGTTACAAAACTGGATCATTGTGACACAGGTAAAAACCTGGTTAAATATAAATAGTGAAGAGAGGAAGGACAATTCATTAAATGACAGGCACAGAAATAACATAATTTAGAAAATTGAAGCCCTATTTTCCGTTTTCTTGTTCTCAGGAGGAAAAAAAATGAACACCATTTACCGAATAAAACGAAAGCATCTTCAGACACAAAAAAATCCTTTTTAACAGATTTCATCCCTATGACTCTTGGGGGTGCTGCAGAAAAAGAATGCCAATAAAAGAATCAGATTGCTCGCTGGAGCAAATTACTGCAACTCCAGTGACAATACACATGTAGTTTGATAATGTTTGTTTTAGAAAAACACCCCCAAAACCCAAGCAAACAAACAAACAAAACCAACAACAACAAAAGAAGGAAGACTGTTCTCAGAATTACATTTGCATTCAAGTAGGGCTATTGAATTTTTACAGAGAAATTGTGAAACATTTTAATTGTCATGGAATTTTTCTTCGAAAGAAATAGTAATTATTACTTGGTTCTGTCCAAGAAGCAAGATTTATCATGTTTTGAAATTGATAGTATTCAAGTTCTGTCTGTTGGAAAAATGGGTTGTCTAATCAGTGTGGAATAAAGAGGGAAGATGTGCCAAGACCTCCAGAGTCCTTTGTGAATTTGATGAAGTCTCACGGCGACATGTGCCGATGAGGAAGTTCTGACTGGTAAAATGTGATTAAATTTTAGGGTTCTGTTTTTAAGTTAGGTCCTGAATGCTGTATATAAATCTCAAAGAGTCTAAAATATTACTACAGGAGTTAACAGTAAGAGGTTTTTAAATAGTGCATGGGTACAGCCACAGATACTTTGTTAAAGGTGATGGATTGCATGTGATTGTATCTTAGGGCATTGCTGCTCCTCTTACCTTTTCTTTTGTGTAGTTAAAAGTCTCAGCCAGGTTACATCTCTTCTAAATAAAAGTGTGACAAAAATGACAGTTCTCAATGCCACAAATTCAGTTTTAATGTTGTTGTGGTTTAAGCCCAGCCAACAGCTGAGCACCGCGCAGCCTCGTGCTCACTCCTCCCCGCTCCCGGTGGGATGGAGAGGAGAATAGCAAAAAAGAAGTAAACCTCATAGGTTGAGAGAAAGGTTCAATAACTAAAATAAATTAAAATGTAACAATAATGGTAGTGTCGTAATTATTATAATAATGAAAAGGAATATAACAACAACAAAAAAAGAAAAATAAAACCCAGGCCAAGTGATGCTGAATGCAGTTGCTGACCACCCGCTGACAGATGCCGGAGCAGCGATCCGTCCCTCCCGGCCAGCTCCCCCCAGTTCACCCAGTGAGCGTGGTGCCCTGTGCTGTGGAATCGCCCTTGGGCCAGTTCGGGTCAGCTCTCTGGGCTGTGCTCCCTCCCAGCTTCTGTGCACCTGCTCGCTGGCAGAGCATGGGAAACTGAAAAATCTTTGACTTCGGATAAGCGCTACGTAACAACTACTAAAGCATCCGTGTGTTACCGGCATTATTCTCACGCTAAACCCAAACTGCGGCACTCTGCCAGCCACTGGGAAGTACGTCAACTCGACCCCAGCTGGAACCAGAACATTAATGTCCAAGTGAGATCCATCTTTGAACCGATTTATTTACTGTTGCACCCAATAAAAAAATTTCTTTCAACTCTCTCAAACCTTATTCCTCATAGATGACTTGGGTGGAACTCCTGTCCTGACTATAGAGTTCATTTACCGTTTTTCTAGTTGTGTATCGAAAGTTGAGAGAACTTTTGTTCCAGGCTCAGTACTCCTCTGTTTCTCTTGGTAGGATTGCACTCAGAACTGTTAAATCTCTTCTTTGTAGTTTTTGTGGTAGGAAGGGACAGAATGTTTTGGTGTTCTGGGTCCCAGCTCATCTTAATGGCTGAAAGGAAAAAGGAGCCTTCCTGTACACCCTAAAAAAAAATAATCCTCACATAACTTTAATCCTTTTTGACCCAAGGTGACCATTTTCTCTCATTTCTGGTATTTATATACATATAAAGTGCCATTCCACAAAAGAAGGTTTGCCTAGTCCTCCCTCTCTTAGGTGTTTAAAAGCTACATACCACAACTATCCCGTGACTTCTTTCTGTAATTGTCAGTGTTTTTGTTATAAAGCCTACTGCCACTAGAAGGATTCTCCTACTTTTTTCTTTTATTCTAAAGCAATTCAAGTCAACTGCAAAAGTAACAAGCTGCAAAATTGATTTCCCCACATGTAAATTACTGGAAGATTTCTGTAAAATCAGATTATTTTTATGTGATTTATGCCTTTATAGTATCTCATAAAATGCCAAATCATTAAAATGTTCTATGAGCCTCATATGTCTAAAAAAGCAAGCATATGGGAGGATCAGTTGACTTATAGTGACAATATTTTGTGTCATGTCTTTCTTTTCCTGTCTGTGAAGTGGATATAAAGTTTATCCATCTCCTCCAAAATGTTATGATTTTAATCTAGAAACGTTCTAATCTGGTTTGACGGAAAGAGTTGTGTATGTCAGATTGTTGTTTGTTGCAGATGTGGCAGCCAGTGGTAGACTAGCCTTCAGATTCTGCTGAAATTTTGATTGAATAAAACTTAGCTGAATAATTTAGACTTAATTTCTGTAAAACAATGTGACGTAGGTCAGCGTTGGTTTAGCTGACTTTTTGGTGTGGATGGACAAATTTCATCATCATCGTCAATCTGTGCTCACTTCAGTGCCTCTGCCTGACCTCTCCCTCAAAAGCAGCACCTCAGCTGAACTGTCAGAAGGTTTTTCTGGAAATACTCAGTTAATTAGTTGCAGTGCTAATGTCACAGTTGTCTGACCAGCTACTGCTGGTTTCTTTCTTTAAGAAAATGCTCTGGTGATTTATATTAGAAGAAAAAAAAAATCTTTCCACATGTTCCTATTCATAGGTCACTCTGATTTACAGATGCTCCTCAAAAATGAGGATGCAGAATGTGGAACACTGTTGGGAAGCAGGTGCATGCCAGGCTTAATAGTTCAAATGTCAAGTCTCCTTTCTTTTGTTTAGACTATAATGGCAACAACACAAATATGCTACTGTTTATTGAAGTCTGATAATTTTTTTCTAAGGTTTTTGTTGGTTTTTTTAAAAGGCAAATGGTTAGGTTTAAATATGTATCTGATTTTACTGTTTTATTTTCTTCAGGTCATGCACAGATTGTCCATCTCTTATTAGAAAGAAATAAGTTTGGAACTATCCCATCTGATAGTCAAGGTGCAACACCCCTACATTATGCAGCACAGAGCAACTTCGCTGTGAGTAGCACTTAGACTAAATGTGAAGTAAATATATTTTGCTGGAATATTTATAATGTAACAAAGCATTTGAGTTGGTTTTAAAATCATATAAACATGATGATGTCTGCACAAGCTTAATTCAGAGTTTTCCAATGTTATGTTATATAAATATGATTAATTTCAAACTGTGAAAAGTAGATTTTGAAAAAATAAATTGCTGTACGAAGAAAGGCCCTTTGATCTATACGCTTGCATCAGAACACACAACAATGTAATCTAGGTACTTGAATAGGCAGAATGGCACCTGCTATTTTAAAGTGCTTTCACTTTTTAAGGCTCATTATAGCAAAATCTAAGCAGTTACAAGGTATCTGGTATTTGCCCAGCTGCTTCAGTACCAGTCAAACCAGTCTTTGCCTTCAAGAAGGTGATTAACTGATGAATACTTGCTATTATGAATGAGCCATTGTCTCATAAAGCATGGCTAAAGAGTGAGTATTTGTGTCATAATTCTGCACGAGCACTATAATTTTCAAAGGTTTTTGAAGTTTGATATTTTTAATTATTTTTTTAAACTCAGAGAACAAAGAAAATTCGTTTCTCGGACAGCCTAATTCTTACGTTTTGGTTGCATAGGTGATTTTTTTCCAGAGCAAGATCACATATGGTAGAGCTAAGTTTAAAAGTCAGCAGTTTAGTGATTGCTGGTCATAGATGTTATTATAGAAACAGTTCTCATGCACTGGAACTTAAAAAGGCTTTTTTCATGCTGCTCTGTGTCATAGTTAAGTTACACCATGCATAGTAGCTGAAAGCTCTCATCCAGATTTTCTTCAGTTCTATTTTTCATAACCTCCCTTTACAAAAAGGGTTATTTAGTGCCTAATTAATGTGGTTATGCAGCACATGTAGCAGCATTTTCTTAACAGGGTTACTAATTTGGGTCATTCTTGCCTACTCGCATATTAATTAAGCTAATAGTATTTTCGTGCCCTTGAGAACCATTGAAATTAAGAAATCCAAGAAGTACTACTGAAAGAGGGAACTGACCAATGTGTGTTAATACCACAGCTATCACCTTCTGTTTCCTTCCAAGAGTGAGTTTTTGGGTTTTCGTTGGGTTTCTTTGGAGGTGGTCTTGGTTAAGATCATATAGATTTTTTTTTTAGTTCAGACTTTCATTGGAGCATATCCCTGTGTATACTTTACACTTGTGTAGAGAGGTTTTTTTAATTGATGCTGATTATTGTTAATTATGTGGTATGTACAGTTCGGGTCTGACTCACATCTGAGTGGTTTATGTTGTAAAAGCCTTTCTATCCTTTCTATGGGAAGGATAGAATATTTTTATTTGCATCTGATTGCAATGTTGTTTTACTGCTACTACTAATTCTTCTTTCTTCTTTCTTCTTTCTTCTTTC